TGACCTGTAGATGAATATAAACTGCAGAGTCCTGACCTGTAGATGAATGTAAACTGCAGAGTCCTGACCTGTAGATGAATATAAACTGCAGAGTCCTGACCTGTAGATGAATGTAAACTGCAGAGTCCTGACCTGTAGATTAATGTAAACTGCAGAGTCCTGGCCTGTAGAGGAGTGTAAACTGCAGAGTCCTGGCCTGTACATGAGTGTAAACTGTAGAGTCCTGACCTGTAGATGAGTGTAAACTGCAGAGTCCTGACCTGTAGATGAATGTAAACTGCAGAGTCCTGACCTGTAGATGAATGTAAACTGCAGAGTCCTGACCCGACGAAGTAGATCGTCTGTGTTGGCTCATTCTTTTGAACAGTGGCCCGCTTGCATTCACTACATACACATAACACGACACGGGTCAGGTGATGGGGCTCATGACCCTCTATGAACAATAGAACTAATCAAGCCTTTTGTTAGGCGATGGCCCTCTTTTACATGTGACTAACCTGTTTGTCCATGTGGAGGCARTGCTTATAAGGCTGAGTTCACCTGAAACTCATCAGAAGGCTGGGAAAGGTTTTTTAAATGAGGATGGAGCAATTACATCTCAACGTTCAGTTTAGTGCACTGTAGCTTAGAATGGAAAATTAGCAAAAAATAAATGAACATCATGTATCTGTCAGATGTTTGTAAAGGAAAAGTTCCTGCTCGCAGTGCAGATTCCAGCAACTTCTAATTAGCAAATCATTTTTGCTTTTTTTTAACGTTAAAGGACGGACTGACGTAGGTTTTGTAACAAAGGTGCTGTTAAAACGAGCACTCCTCACGTTTCTGGAATCCTGCCTGCACTTTTATTAGCTCGAACAGAACAACACTAGAGTTGTGCGTGCCGATAACGTCGAAAACATGAGTCACCCGACGCTCTGTGTGGCTGCAGAACAGAGACGCAGTGAACCCACCGTGGAAGCTGAGAGTGGCCCGGGACACTCGGACCTGTCTCCAGCTGGGTGACAAGTTGTTTTGTTGTTTTTTTACTCTAAGGTCCGCGCTCTGTTTGCATGCAGGGGAACGCAGCAGATTTGACGTTTGAAAAACAGGGTATATTTTCAATCAAAGCAAATGTATGCATATTTATTACATTTCTTTTGACGATTTTAGAAAATAAWATAAAACTTAAAGCAATTTCAGATCACCTTGACTACTTTTTCTTTTTTTAATCTATTCAAACGATTTAAACAGTTTGGATTTTGCAGAACAAACACAGCTCAAAAGCCTTTGCCACAATTCAACGAGACTGTTTTTCTCCGCCGGAGGAAATTTGATTTAGATAAACTTTCCTCAACCCTTTTTAAAAAAAACACACAAAGTGTACATTCTGTTACACAGCAACACTTCATCTTAACATTTTATTCATTTTTTTTCTTCTTTGCATTCTTTTTGCATTCTTCAGGCCATTGCATCACGTTGTTTCGTGACCCCAGCAAACACAAACGCTGCAACAAGAAAAACCTGCCGGTAATTAGCAGGTTTAATGAGGAACTAAGTTACAATGAAAATAGAAATGTAGTCACAAAAAAGCCAGCTGAACTGCATACTGATCATTTGTTAGTCCATATGACGTGACAGAGCAATAAAACAGAGACTTTTTCTTTGCTTTATGGGTGCTGGTAAAAACTGTGAGGTCTTTATTCGTTGCCACGCACAATGGTGGAAAACAGAGCTCTGCGACGGGGTCCAGGTTGTACTCAAGGTGCGTGTGTAAACTTAGAAACTGGCCACGTCTCACTTTGGTCAGCAGACTGCGTGTGTGTCTGTGCGTACACACACTCTGTCCGAGTGCTGCCAGTAAAGAGAAAAAAAAAAGAAGGTATGGCCTGAATGTTTCCGTTCAGGTTCTAATTTGAAGTGGAGGGAAAAGAAAACAGTAGAAAATAAAACAGTCTGTGGAGTATTTGTTTTATTCTCTGACCTGTTTTCAGTTTTAATTAGGCAGCTATTTTGTGTATATTTTTTTATTGTTTTTGCCGTATTTTCTTCAGAGAACATGAAAAACAGATTTCGCCTATGGGCACATGGAGTTATTGCACATTTGTGTTCACAGTAAGAGATGAAAGTGCGGCTTAAAATTGGGGGGGGGGG